AAAGCACTGTGCTAAAAGCTGCCAGGGTATCAGTAAGATAATACCCTTGCTTTCTGGAAGCATGTTATCTAATGAAGATAAATTGTAAACAAGTAATTACAATAAAAGCACAAGTGAAATTAGTTGCCATAATGTAAATGTAAGCAGAACTGTATGAGTGGAAAAGAAGGAACCCTTAATTGTAATCACAGAAATTAGTGAGGAGCTACTGGACCCGAGAAATCAATTGACCATCTGTTTCTAATCAAAGTGAGTAGGCTTGTTAAGGAGCCTCTCCTCTTAACCAAAGTTTTAACTCAGCCACCTCACCCTCAAAAAGCTCTAACGGGGGGCACCTGGGTGGCTCAATTGGTTAAGCAACTGCCTTTGGCTCAGGTCATGATCCTGCAATCCCAGGATCGAGTCCCACATCAGGCTCCCTGCTTGGCAGGGAGTCTGCTTCTCCCTCTGACCTCTCTCCTACCTCTCTCTGTCCCAAATAAATAGATAAAATCTTAAAAAAAAAAAAAAAAAAAGCTCTAATGGGAGAAGAACAAGGAGATAGTGTTAAGAGATTTCTTTGTCATTGTTCTTTTTTTTTATTTTAATATTTTATTTATTTAACACAGAGAGATCACAAGTAGGCAGAGAGGCAGGCAGAGAGAGGGGGGGAAGCAGGCTCCCTGCTGAGCAGAGAGGCGGATGTGGGGCTCCATCCCAGGACCCTGAGATCATGACCTGAGCTGAAGGCAGAGGTTTAACCCACTGAGCCACCCATGTTAAAAGCAGTAAGAGTTTATTAATACTAGTACTGCAGCTCCTCTGACATACCCTTTTATAAAGGACAGAACATGCTTCTGAAGTATGTTAAAAAACACTTGAAACTATCACTTCACTTGTAGGAATGAAGAAAAGAAAAAGAAAAACAATCCTTTCATGTATTTGAAACATTACTTGGTTTTGCAGTTTTCAAATAGTATCTTTCAGTTGTATGAATTTTCATTATATTAGCAAAATGTGAGAAAATTATGATTAAGTCTTTTTTTAAGTATCCTAAGAGATTAAATTTAGAGTACTTTATGCCCTTAAGATCACTGCAGATGGTATTTGCAAGTGTCAGTATTTTTTCTCTTAATATACAGATTAATTTAGAGTGTGCTTTGAAATAAAAATGTGTTATTCGTGTAAAACTTCTCTAACAAAATGGTCATGTAACCTGTATCTCTTCAGAAGCACATGCCAGTTGAGAAGAAATTACCACATTATAGGGATGGCACACTTCTCTTGGCTGTAGTACCAACAAGGGAAGGCCTCCTACTGGACAACTCTGTGTCTTATCTCTCCCGCTTGCAGATTTCCATAAGGCATTGTTAGAGACCCTGAGTTGCATTTACTTTTCTGAAGACCACTCAATAGCCAGCTGCCTTATCAAGGTCGGTCTCTTTTGGTGAAGTATCCTTACTTAAGTTACTTGGATCCTATTTGAGTTATAGTGGTCTTCCTAGATGGCTTGTTGGTGGAACTCTAAGAATTTCCTCCTTACTTGATTACAACTAGCATAGAATTACAACTAGCAATTAGATGTTAGATTTGCTTCCCCAACTAATTTTTTTATATGTTTTTGCTAATCCAAAGTGATTACTGTATTGCCTCACATTCCCCCTGCCAAAGAATACTTAGTGAGTCATTTATTTTAAAATGCAAAATCCAAAAATGGAGTACTTCACCATTTTTTTTTATTGAGTTGTAATTCACGTACCTTAAACATCGGCCTTTTAAAGTATACAATTTAGTGTTTTTCAGTGTATTGACAAGGTTGTGTGACCATTACACACACTCATTCATTGGCCCGAAAAGAAATGCTGCACCCATTAGCATTCTCTCCCCATTCTCTCCTCCTCCTAGCCCTTGGCAGCTACTAATCTGCTTTTTGTCTCTGCATATTTGTTTATTCTGAACATTTCATATAAATGGAATTGTACAATATGTAGGTTTTGGTTTTTGGCTGCTTTCACTTAGCTTAATGTTTTCAAGGTTTATCCATGTTGTAGCATGTATCAGTACTTTATCCCCCCCCCCCCCGCTTTTTTAAAGATTTTATTTATGTGAGAAAGAGAGAGCCACCAGCACAGGGGGAGGGAGAGGGGGAGAAGTAGACTCTGTCTGAAATAAAAATGTGTTATCGTGTAAAACTTCTTTAACGAAATGGTCATGTAACCTGTATCTCTGAGAAGCACATGCTAATTGAGAAGAAAGTACCACAGGACATCTCAGGATCCAGTCCCAGGATCCTGAGATGGCCTGAGCTGAAGACTTAACTGACTGAGCCACCTAGGTGCCCCAGTACTTCATTCATTTTTATAGTGGATAATACTCTGTTATATAGATTACCATGTTTTGTTTTTCTGTTCATCACTGATGGACATTTGATTCTACTTTTGGCTGTTAGGAATTATGCTGCTGTGAACATTTGTGCACACGTTTTTTGTACGGACATATATTTCAGTTTATCTTATCTTTTGAACCGTTGCTTGTTCTTTGGAAGCTCAGTTTCTGTCCCTGCCTACAGAGGCCCCTGTTCTTTTTTTTTTTAATTTTTTTTTTTAAGATTTTATTTATTTATTTGACAGATTACAAGTAGGCAGAGAGGCAGGCAGAGAGAGAGAGAGGAGGAAGCAGGCTCCCTGCTGAGCAGAGAGCCCGATGCGGGGCTCGATCCCTGAGATCGTGACCTGAGCTGAAGGCAGAGGCTTAACCCACTGAGCCACCCAGGTGCCCCAAGCCCCTGTTCTTATAAATCTTTAGCAGTAACATCCTCATACTTCTAACCTTACTGTTGCTTGGTATGATTTAGACATTATTTCTCCAAGAAACCTCTTCAGTCTAATGTGAAAACTTGGAGGAAGTAAGGCAGGATTAGTAAAATCCCCTGGATTGCTGGATTTAAATCTTAGGAAAGGATTTGCCAATTACCTTTTCTATAATGTATGTGATTGATAGGACTTTTGAGTGTGGAGAGGTTTCTCTACCAAATCCTTGCTCTGCTAAGCAAAACTGCAGTATCTTCCACTGTATTGGAGAGAGAGCAGTTGAGATCCTCGCACTGGATTCATTTTATAAGTAAAAAAAATAATAATCATGAAGTAGCTATGGAGTTTGGTCTTTAGCATGGAGTTTTTTAGTGTAGTTGTATTTTACTAGTTGTATTTTACTAGAAGTTTTTAGGTATTACTGGAATAATTGAATGTAATATATAGCAGTAACATATTCTAACACTCGAGAATATTTTGCTGGTCAAGTAATTGAGAATGCAAAGGTGAAGGGGGTGTATGTTCAGACATGGTGTAGTCAAGTTTTCAACTACTATGTAGTTGATAAATACTACCTCATTTATCGTGGCCGGAGCGACAAATCGACCAGGAACGTGAGGGTAAGAGGATGAAGAAAAGAACTCGAGAAGCTGAGAGATGGGGGCACTGAGGAGGATGTCCAACAGTGCTAAGTTTATTCAAAGCATTAAGGCCATATATATAGTGATATTACAATAGGAGAAGCAATACACCTGTGTCTAGTTAAACAACCACGAGTTCCCATAATAAGTTTCACAATTAACTATAAGCAGACCTCCTGACGCCGAACGGCTGATGCCAGTACAATTGTTCTGTATTGATACAGCAAACCTGAAAGTAATTTATGGGCTGTACGAGGGCAGCAAGGACCAGCCATGAACTTATGACCCCAACCAAATTGTTCTCATTTGTTTAGCAAGCCTGTGGGAAGTCACGTAGGTGAGCGCACAACACATAGCACAGACCCTTTTTCAGTGCTACTCAACTTTTCCCGTCCTAAACCTTTTGTTAGGTTATTCTGACTTTAAAGGAGGCACAAGTCAGGGCCTGGTTTGGTCCTCGTCTCAAGCCTTATTGTGGCCTCCCACACTCATTTCATTAAATTTTCCCAAAAGAACACCAAAAAATCCATTTCCAGTGGTTTAATAATAGCTTACTCTATTTTCAGCCCCCCCTTTTAAAGATTTTATTTATTTGACAGAGATCACAAGTAGGCAGAGAGGCAGGCTGAGAGAGAGAAAAGCAGGCTCCCTGCCGAGTAGGGAGCCGGATGTGGGGCTCGATCCCAGAACCCTGGGATCATGACCTGAGCCAAAGGCAGAGGCTTAACGCACTGAACCACCAGCCCCCCCCGCCACTTTTAAAAATTATTTATTTATTTGAGAGGGAGTGAAAGCGAGAGAGATTATGGAGGGAGAGGGAGAAGCAGACTCCCTGTTGTGCAGAGAGCCCGATGTGGGGCTTGATGGGATCATGACCTGAGCGGAAGGCAGCTGCCTAACCATCTGAGCCACCCAGGTGCCCCTATTTTCTACCGGTTTTAAACTATCACTTTTACTTCTGGCAGGAAGGAGAGGCAAGATGTATGCACTTGGCAGTCATTAGTTAAATACTTCACTAGAATCCCATTTTATAAATGAAAAAATTGAAAGGCTCTTGAGACTGAATGTTGTTCTGATTTCTTCTCTTTTTAGGACATTTTCCCTGTACTTTTAGAGTAATTTTCTTGCCAAATTAGTTTGTAAATTGTCAGTCTTTCCTAAAAGGAGAAAACTCAAATTGCTTGAAAAAACTGAAAGGTTGGGGCGCCTGAGTGGCTCAGTGGGTTAAGCTGCTGCCTTCGGCTCAGGTCATGATCTCAGGGTCCTGGGATTGAGTCCCGCATCAGGCTCTCTGCTCAGCAGGGAGCCTACTTCCCTCCCTCTCTCTCTGCCTGCCTCTCTGTCTACTTGTGATCTCTCTCTGTCAAATAAATAAATAATAAAATCTTTAAAAAAAAAAAAAAAGACAAAACTGAAAGGTTACTCTGAGAACTTTATTAAAGACAGTGTAAACCAAACCAAGTGAGATTAATTCTGTGCCATATATGATTAAGCTATAGACTTTATCTGGGATTATAAAGTATGAAGCCTGTTTTAATACTTTGTAATTTTGTTTGTTTGTTTGTTTCAGTGAAAAGTGTAAGGCTAGAGGATTTACCGTGATTGTGGATGGCAGAAAATCACAGTGGAATGTGGTGAAAACAGTAGTCTTAATGCTACAGGTAATTTTATTTTTGACTATTAGGAAATGGTTTTATTTTATAGCAGCAGATAAAGTGATAATGGCAAATGCATTTCATTTATTTCACTGTGCCCAACCTTCTCAGCAGTGACTGAGTTCTGAAATGCACACTACTGGATTTTTAAAATTCATTTCTGAGAGGTTTGATTTGAATAGTAAAATAAATTTGAGACCTATTCTAAAGATTTGTAAATGATCAAAAATAGTATGTTGTGTTTAAATAATTTAGTAAGTAGGCCAGTGAGTCCAAAAGTGTAAGATATTGTCAGACTTACCTGGAGTTTCTGTGTGCTGTGATATCTACATTGTCCCCTGTCTCCTCCGTTCTGATACTGTAGGTGGCAGCAGGACTGGGTAAGTCTAGTCTGGAAGAGCTTCTCATGTGGTTCTGAGCAGTCTTTTCCTTCTGTTCTGTACTTTCCTCTAAAGAGTACCAGGATTTGTGGTACTTCCTGGAAGAAATGTACTTGACAGCTGTGTCCTTGGGAACTTGAGCAGCCCACAAATCAGCATTTAATAAACAGCTGCAGTTGCAAAGTCTTTGGTCTGATACTAGTTTTTGTGTTTCCTTGTGTTCCTCACAGGAAGATTTCACGATCTTTGCTTGAACTAGGTACCTACCTACCTAGTAAACATTCTTTGCTTTATTATTAGGTTATTGAGGACGTTGTGATCTGAAATGGAAAAATAAACCATTTGAGTGATTTAAAGGCAGCAGATTGCTCTAATGTATCTGTGTTTCCTTAGAAAGTCTTCAAGAGAGTGTAAAAATTAAGTGAGTTAAATAAAAGAGATTATCTAATTTAGATGAAAGAAAGTGAAAAGGACATTCCTAGCAGGAACACTGACTTAGTGATAGCTCAGAGATAAAACAAATATAATAAAGGGATTTGATGGCAGGTCAGTTTGGGGAAAATAGAAGTTGACAGTTATATGGGATAGTGAATATTCAGTTAGGGAAATATCAGTGACATTGAAAGAAAGATCAAGTATTTTAAATGAATTGAGAAATAAGTAGTAACTGCTTTTGGGTTCTGTGGAAAGAAGTATAATTTCAAATTTTATTTCATTTTCATTTTTTTTTTAAAGATTTTATTTATTTGAGAGGGAGAGAGAAAGAGCACAAACAGGAGTGGCAGAGGGAGAGGGAGAGGGAGGCCTCCTGCTGAGCAGGGAATCCTCCGCTGACTCCATCCTAGGACCCTGAGATCATGATCCAAGCTGAAGCCACCTGACTGAGCCACCCAGGTGCTCCATAATTTAGAATTTTAAATGATAACTAAGAAGAACGGTTCTTTTTTTTTTTTTTAATATTTTATTTATTTATTTGACAGACAGAGATCACAAGTAGGCAGAGAGGCAGGCAGAGAGAGAGGAGGAAGCAGGCTCTCCACAGAGCAGAGAGCCCGATGCGGGGCTCAATCCTGGGACCCTGGGATCATGACCTGAGCTGAAGGCAGAGGCTTTAACCCACTGAGCCACCCAGGCGCCCCAGAAGAATGGTTCTTAATGTTTTATTTTTTATTTGGGATTAGAAAAAAGGGATTTTGGGGCGTGGGAACTAGTAATTTCAGTGCTCAGTATGGTTCGGGTAGTGTACTAAACTTTCTATAAATTAATCTCATTTTATTTTATCCTCACAACCTTGGGAGGCAGGTTCTATTATCCCAAAGATCAGCTGAGGCTCAGAGTTTTTATTTTATTTTATTTTATTTCATTTCATTTCACTTATTAAAAAGATTTTATTTATTTATTTGAGAGAGAGAAAGCATGAGCAGAGGAGAGTGAGAAGCAGACTTCCTGCTGAGCAGGGAACCTGATGCCAGGCTTGATCCTAGGACCCTGAGATCATGACCTGAGCTGAAGGCAGATGCTTAACCTACTGAGGCACCCACACACCCCCATGCTCAATGATTTTAAATAACTAAGTTCTTATAATGAACATGGGAAAGAGCTGCAGTTGGAATTTAACATAGCCTAACCCCCAAGTCTTGGCTTTATCCTTTACAAAGGGTATATTTACCAATGTGGGGGGTATTGGAGGTCTATCCAAATTATCTATCCGTTACCTTCTTCTTAAATGTGTGGCCTAAACCTTTATCATTAGAATCATTCCTTTGGGTTGGAAAGGATATAGCCCACAGAGGATCAGTTTTTTAAGGGAGCACAGATTGGTATTCCATCACTTTTTTTGTCTGGTGTATTCCCAGCACTTTTATATCCCAACCCTAAAGATGAACTCTTCTTGTAAAAGTTGTTAAAATAACTATTAGGTGAGAAATCCATTAATTATGACCTTGTGTTCTTCCTTTCATCCTGTCATTCAACTGTGTCACAGATGACCTCTTTGGGACTTGCTGTATGAACTGGACTTTGATCAGTGGCAGTTTTGAAGAACAATCAGTGGATGATTTAATCCCCTCTTGCGATTTCTTTTCTGATAGGTATTTTAACAACTTTTGGATTTATTAATAGTTAACATTTTCAGAAGTTGCAATGGCCTTTTGTTTACTCCTATTCAAACAGTTTTTACATACATAATCATTCATTGCTTTTATTTCAGAAGGTACTAGTACCAGTTATTTGGGATCCCAGAGCTTAGTGTTGGCTTTGTTTGTAACTAAATATTCTCTCAAATGAGTGGTTTGGTTTTTCTTGTCTCTCACTACTTTAATATTCAATCATTTTGAAGTAATAGCCTTCCACTAGTCAATATATAAATAAACCTCAGTCTAGCCTAGATTTTCCAACCTCTGATAACTTTTGATACTGTTGAATTTATTTATCTTACTCATAACCCAGTCATTGCAGAGGGCACCAGATTTGTTATGTGCCTAAAAATGTGTTTAAATTGAAAGATTTCTATTTTCTCCTAATTGATAATAATTAATTTTAGCCATAATTTATTATTATTCAGTTGTGAGATTTATTGTCTTAAATGGTATTTGACCCCTAGAGTTTGTAAATAAAGTTTTATTGAAACTCAGCTATGTCTATTCATTTATATTTTTTATAGTTGCTTTCATACTACAATGACAGATTTGAAGTAGTTGCAATAGAGACTTTGCATAGCCTGCAAAGCCTAAAATATTTATTATCTACACTTTTGGAAAGAATTTACTGACTCCTGGTGTAGAACATTTGAAATGGTGTGGTAGAACTTTAGAGTCAGACCTGGTTTCTGTTTTAGTACCATCAGTAAACAACTCTGTTATATTGGAAAAGCTTCTTTGAAACTCAGTTTACTCTCCTGTAAAATTGGGAGAATGAGATTTCCTTGCTAATGTGAATTCATTTATTCAACAGATATTTATGGAGTGTTTTCTATATGCCAGGCATTGTCATAGGCTGGAGATATAGGGGTGACATGATAGATAAGGTAATTGCCATTGGGAAGTTAATGTTCTACTTAAGGAGTCAGTAAGTAATAAGGCTAACTACTAATTAATGTAACAGCAGACAGTGATAAGTGCTATGAGGCAACATACAGTAGTAGAAGATGACTGAATCAGATGGTGCAACTTTAGATAGGGTGGTCAGGGAAGGTCTCTCTGTAAAGGGAGTGTTTGAGTAGAATCTTAATGGAGGGAGCATTCTTCCTAGGTGTATAGGACAAAAAACACTCCAGACAGAGGAAACATCGAGGGTATAAGCCTCAGGTGGAAACAGACTTGTTATATTCCAGCAACAGCAGGAAACTTAGTATGGCTATGGTGAGGGTATGAGCTAAGAGGGGAGGGTATGAGCTGAGGTTTGAGGGTCAGTGGGGCCCTGAGCCTGGAGGGCTTTCTAGGCTTTGGAAAGGAATTTGAATTTTACTGTGAGCATGAAAAAATGTGAAGAAAGGAAGGCGGCCTGTTTTTTTTTTTGTTTTTTTTTTTTTTTTTAAAGCTGACTCGTTTGGGGATGTTAGCAGTGTGGGTGGTAGAAATGGATAGGTTTAAGATCTTATTTAAAGATAGACTGTATGGGGTTTGCTGATAAAATATACATGGAATATTTTATTAACTCGGTAAATGTTAACTTCCATTCTTCTTTAGGTAATATGAATAACCATATCTATTAAATGTGAAATTGTATTTGTCAGAGATTAGCTAGTCCTGTTCTTCAAGTTAATAATCCAGCAGAATCTGGGCTTTTTTGTATAATAGCCAGTAAGAAATTTATTTTATGAGAAAATTGATTTTACATTTTTGAAGAAATTCTCCCAAGGTGATTGTGTTAAAAATTTTTTTTTCATATAGTAGAAAAACCAAATGTAGTAGTTTGCCAATTAAAAATTGTCTTACAGTTTAATCTGAATATATACCTATTAGATTTGTACAACACAAAAATAATTCACATGTACTGTGTATATTATATTGAAATCTTTTCTGAATCGACTTGCCTTTCCAAGTATTTCTTTATTGCCATGTATGTTTTGAAGCTTGGAGTATTTCTTATTATTTTAATTCTTTTCTAAGGGTCTTTTAATTACTCAGCCCAACCATGAAAACCTAGTAATTTATAACTTTAATAAATTATTCATTTTACATGTATAATTTATAATTTTTTTTTTTTTTTTTGTATTTTATAGAATGTTGTTCCAGCTGAGGTATCCCTTGTTTGTGTAGTGAAGCCTGATGAATTCTGGGATAAGAAAGTAACACATTTTTGTTTTTGGAAAGAGAAGGATAGACTTGGCTTTGAGGTAAATAAACTCTATTAAAAAGCAGAAATGTGTTGTATCTTTAAAAATAGCATATTGCTGGTATTTTATTTGCTCATCGTTGGAAACTAAGCTGAGCTTGTGCAGTGATGAGTCAGTGCCTAAGCAATGAATAGTATGTAATTGACATTCAGATACTTGTGGAATATATTATGATTCTTTGTCAAAGACTATAAATTTTTTCTTGTTTTCATTTGTATCACTCTTTATAAACTTTGAGTAAGTAGAACTTTTTATTTAAACAAAAAAATATTGTATTACTGAGAGGACATTTAGCTAATACTAGGAAACCCTGGACATTTTGAAATTGGAGTGTATTTTGTGTGATATGTCATAATTATTTTTAGTATCTGGTTTGGTTTTCATCCATGAAAAAAGTTATCTGTCCTTTCCTATGGACACTCTGTCTTCATCTGTCTTGTGTAAAAAGTACATCTTATTGTAGATCAGAAAGAAGTTCCAGATGGAATACAAATTTAAACAATTCTGTCATATTTTTCCTGCCACAACCTGTTAAAAGTTTTTTTTTATCCTTGATACTATATCTGGTTCTGAACTATACCTTGTTTGACATTAGTATAGCTATTCAGCTTACTTTTGACTAGTGTTGGCATGTTGTATCTTTTTCCATAATACCTTTTTACTTATCATCTATTTACCTATTTCTTTATATTTAAAGTGGGCTTCTTATAGTATCCTTGGGTGTTGCTTTCATATCCATTCTGACAATATGTCCTTTACAGTGTTTCATAAAACCATTTATATTCAGTGTAATTATTTATACAGGTCGATTAAAATCTATCATCTTGCTAGATTTTATGTACTTTTTGGTTCTTTTTTTGCCTTCTTTTGGATTATTTTTTATTATTACATTTTATCTCCATTGTAGTTTATATCCTTATTAAGAATTTTTTTATGTGCATGCCCTAAGTTTACACTGTATATCTTTAATTACCTAAATAATATAGCACTTAATATGTAGTAGAAATTACTTAAAACAGTATATATCCAGCACTTCCATTGTAGTCATACATTTTACTTCTCCTGTTCTATAAACACACAATAGATGGTTACTATTTTTGCCACTGATAGTTTATTTACAGCAATTAAAATAATAAAAAAATGAATTTTATCTTTCTTTATGCCACTTATGGTGTTCTTCATTTCTTTTTGGAGATTCATCTTTTTGTTTGATATGTTCCTTCTGCCTAAAGGACTTCCTTTAACATATCTTGCAGAGCAGGTCTGTTGGCTTTGAATTTTTTTAGCTTTTGTTTTCCTTAAAAAAACCTATTGTTTCTGTTATGGTTTTGAAAGATATTTTCAATGGGTATGGAATTTTGTTTCATTGATTTTTTCTTTTAGCACATTAACTATATAACAACATTGACTTCTCATTCCCTTATCTTCTTTTTTTTTAAGATTTTATTTGTTTATTTGACAGAGAGAGATCAAAAGCAGGCAGGCAGAGAGAGAGGGGGAAGCAGGCTCCCTGTCAAGCAGAGAGCCCGATGCGGGGCTTGATCCCAGGACCCTGAGATCATGACCTGAGCTGAAGGCAGAGGCTTCATCCACTGAGCCACACAGGCTCCCCTCATTCCCATAGCTTCTGAGGAGAATTCTGTTATTTGTATCCGTGGCCTGCTGTGTGCCATATATCTTTTTTCCCTGTTGGCCACCTTTAAGATTTTCACTTTAGGGGCTCCTGGTGGCCCTGCGTCAGGCTCTCTGCTCGGTGGGGAGCCTGCTTCCCCCTTTCTCTCTGCCTGCTGCTCTGCCTACTTGTGATCTCTCTCTCTGTCAAATAAATGAATAAAATCTTTAAAAAAAAAAAAAGATTTTCACTTTATTTTTGGGTTTTCAGCATTTTTATTATATAATGCCTAGGTGTATTTTATTTGGTATTTGTTCTCTTTGGTGTTCTCTGCATTTGTTGGATCTCTGGTTTGATGTCAGCCATCAATTTTGGAAAATTCTTAGATTTTTTTTTTAAATATTTTCTTCACCCCATTTTCTTTTTCTATTTCTTCTAGAAGTCCGATTATATGTATCTTAGACTATTTGAAAATTTCTCACCATTCTGGGTTGTTGTTCTTATTTATTTATTTATTTTTTCTGTTTTATCTCTTTATGTTTCAGTTTGGGTATTTTCTGTTGATCCATTTTCAAGTTACTGTTTGTTTGTCTTTATTGAGTTTGTTGAGACCTATTCATTGTAAATTACTTTATCTACGTTACCATGTTTTCGGTTTGTGACATTTCTTCCCCCCCCCTTTTTTTTAAAGATTTTATTTATTTATTAGAGAGAGAGAGAGAGGGAGAGAGGGAACACAAGCAGGTAGAGTGGGAGAGGGTAGAAGCAGGCTTTCTGCTGAGCAGGGAGCCTGATGTGGGGCTCAATCCCAGGACCCTGGGATCATCACCTGAGCTGAAGGCAGATGCTTAACAACTGAGCCACCCAGGTACCCCAATTTTTTTTAAAATTAGCATATAATGTATTATTTGTTTCAGGGTTACAGGTGTGTGATTCATTAGTCTTAACGCAACACCCAGTGCTCACCACAACACATGCTCTTCCCAGTGTCCATCACCCAACTGCCTCATTCCCCTCACCCTCCTCCCCTCCAGCAACCCTTAGTTTGTTTCTTAAAATTAAGAGTCTCTTATGGTTTTTCTCCCTCTCTGGTTTTGTCTTGTTTCATTTTTTCCTCTCTTCCCCTATGATCCCCTGCCTTGTTACTTAAATTCCACCTATCAGTGAGTTCATATAATTGTCTTTCTCTGATTGACTTATTTCACTTTGCATTATCCCTTCTAGTTCCATCCATGTTGTTGCAAATGGCAAGATTGCTCTTTTTGATGACTGCATAATATTCCATTGTATATATACACCACATCTTCTTTATCCATTCATCTGTCAGTGGATATCTGGGCTCTTTCCATAGTTTGGGTGTTGTAGACATTGCAGCTATAAACATTGGGGCACAGGTCCCTCTTTGGTCACTACATTTGTATCTTTGGGGTAAATACTCAGTAGTGCAATAACTGGGTCATAGGGTAGACCTATTTTCAACTTTTTTGAGGAATCTCCATACTGTTTTCAGAGTGACTGCACCAGCTTGCATTCCCTGTTTGTAACATTTCTATTTTTTAAATTTCTATCTTTGTTGAAATTCCCCATTTCTTCTTGCATGTTGTCTTGCACTTTTTCCATGAGAACTTTCAGCATGTATTATCTTAAATTCCCTACTTGATACTTCTTCTATTCTGGGTCTTACTCTAGTTATATCTTTTGCTTTGTTTCCTGACAGTGGGTTGGTTTTTTTCTTGCTTTTTGCCTTCCTTGTCTTTTGTTGCATGTTGGACATCTTGTTTAGGAATGAGGTAAATACTATTGTATCTACACATGGGTCCATCTTGGCTTTTGCTAGGGTTTTAATGGGGCAGGAGAATTAGCCTAGCCAGGAGTTGAATTGACTTTGACTTTTATTGTTGCTATTATTTTCTTCAGTGCACCACAGGCTTAGGTTGTGTTTATACCACCCTTAACTATAGGTCTTTCCTTTGCACCTTGCCTCAGAAAAGATCTCTTTGCAATTTTGACACTCCATTAGCAGAAGACTGCTGTTCCTTGTTATTCAGTATTTGTCAGAGGGGCATTTTCTGTTGTTCTGGTCACCCTCAGTCTTAGGCTGGCTTTGTGACACTGAGTCTAGGGAATACAGCCCTCAACTCAGGTTTAGAAGGCCTAGGATACCCTGGGCTGATCATATATTCTTGTCTCTAGTAGGATAGAGGGCTTTTCTTTTCCTTTCCTCTAGCTACAGTGGGGCTGTATTTGTGCTCTAAGGTCATCTGGCTTTGCTGCTTTTCCCTCAGGTCATGAAGATTTTTATTCTCCAGAAGAGATAGAGTTGAAGAATCTCTGCCATTCTTCAGCTTCATGCCTTTCCAGTGGTGGCTACTATTTGCATCCCCCAGGCCTGTACTCTGAGAGAGGCTGTTTTGTTGAAGTTTCTGATCTTTATTATCCCAGTCTTTCTCATGATTCCCAGGAGGTCTGTGGAGAAGAGCCCTCGAGTGGTGGAGTTCTTCGTGTCCATGCTTCCCAGGGGTTCTCTATTTTCACATTAGTTCACATTTGGCCTTTAGCAATTCATTAAAAATGTTAGCTGAATTCTTTCCTGGCTTGTATCGTGTCAGGCATTTTTTCCCAGGTAAACAAGTGCTCCAGCCCCATCTTTTCTCGAAGGCACTGGTCTATCCTTAGATTTCAAGTTAGTTGGTTGTCCTGTTAACCCTCATGGGTTCAAGAAAAGTTTTCGTTTTTCATTAACTTGCATCATTTTGAAGGTGGAGATGGTGGTGTAAGGGTTGGAGCATTGTTCTTTCCAGCCTTCTACATCCTAAGCAGAAATGAGTTGCATTTCCCCCCTGCTTTTATCTTATACGCTTTAATCATTGGTTAACTTGACTGTGGTATAGACTTAGTGGAAAGCTGTGCTAGCATTGTAGGGGAAAGCAGTCTGGGCTGCTGGGTTCCATTAGGAAAGGTGTTACCCTGATAGTTGAATGGGAAACACATCCCAAAGAGGAGAAACAAAAGTATAGCGAGGGAAGAGAGTAAAGTAAAGTTTGAAAGCAGGAGGCCTGAATGTTGCCATGGTGAGTGAGTACTTTTGACTGGTGGGATGTGTGCTATTCATGCCAAGGGCGCACAGGAAATGTTGCTCTGAGATAATGCATAGTGAGCAGAGGCAAGTGGTGTAGAACCTAAAGCTGCGAACACTCAGTAGGAGAAAAGATCCCTTTTATGAAGAGCCTGTCACATCCTGCTTAAGCATAGGCATCTGCTCAGAAATGCTTTGCTTTGTTGGTCTCATGATATATATGAATTCATAGTGGCTAAACACCTTGCATCTTAGAGGGTTAAGTAGAAGACACATTTCCTGTCTGCTTGGCTCCAATGTCATAGATTGATA